CCCCTCTAATGCTGGTCCACATATAGTAGTAGGTTTTCATCCTATCAGTTACTCTATTAACTCAAGCAGTAAACCACTGGGATGGAGCTATAGGTTCCAACGTTCTGATGAACCGTGTGGATGTGTGTGTCATTATCAGAGCCCATCATGGAATTTCTGATTTTTTTCAGTTTGCTTTTTTTAAAAATCATAGAAATTACATACAAAAAATTACATTAAAAGAGTATTAAGATTACAAAGTCAAGCACTCAGAAGTTAGGAAATGCCAGGATTAAAGTCGCCCGTGCATCCTTAATTCAACCCCTTGTTTGGGTGTATAGATTAAGATACAGTCTTTAATTAATGATTACATATTTTTTCCAGAGAACCTCTGCCTCGTTCAGTTCCCAGGATCACCTGCTCTGGGGGTGAATCAGGGTTACGTAGTGAAGAAGGCTGTTGTCTGTTAGACCCCTGTTTCATTTGTTGCAAAAGTTGGAAGGTGTGTAGTGAATGAGGCAGGGGACTCCAGGAAGGGAAAGGGCAGTCTCAGAGTTAAGGGAGTTGAACGCTGCCTTGGAGTTACGGGTTCTAACCCTGCTGCTGCCACAGCTCCTACTTGATCCTGGGCAAGTCACCTAAACTGAACTTTTCACAAGTGTTCACTCATTGTGTGTTCCTCAGGTTCTGAGTGCCTGACTTGAGAGCCTCAAGTCTGATTTGCAGAAGTGCTGAGCGCTCACAGCTGCAGCTCAAGTCAATGGAAGCTGTGCTTTGAACTTATGAAGTGCTATATAATTCTAAGTACTCTGAAAAATCAGGTCCTAGGCATCTCAAATTGGGAACCTAAAATTAGTGGATACTTTTGACTTTAATCTCTGTGCCTCAGTTCCCCATCTGTAAAATGGGGATAATAATATCTGCTTATCTCACAGGGGTATTGTAAAAATATATTCATTAAAATTTAAGCACTCCAATAATATGGTGATGAGCACCACAGAAAAGCCCATGAGGCAATTAATAATTGTGTCTTTAGAGCAGGGTTTGAAGCATGTGCAGTAAATAAGGCCTGGGGCCATTCATTGAATAATGAGAATAAAACAAAATATTGAATAATTGCTCATTAAGTGAACACTGTCCATCCTGTGTATTGAATGAGCCGGGGTCCTGTTGGAGAAATAGTGTGTGATCATGTAATTAGATTGTATCATAAGGTATATGCAAAAGGGGGCTGAATTAAGGTTGCACAGGCAACTTTAATTCTTGCATCTCCTAACTTTTGGGTACTTGACTTTGCAACCTTAATACTCTTTTAATATAGGTTTTTATGTAATAAAAGTATAGCTAATACAATGCGTATGTTCATGTATTATGTGCTTAGTATAATGTTTAGACTTAGCTGTTGACTCTTCCCTTTACTCAGTCCCTGCTAGCTAGGTTTCATTTGACTGAATATTCTGGCCTGCACACTTCAGAACCTGATGTGCTGCTTACTTGTAGTATGCCTTGGGGAACCCACTCACCAGTTTGTTCACCCTTGCAAGTCTAGGAATGTACGATTCTGATCTCTTTCAGATCGGTATCTTTTTACACACTGTAGATTTCCATAGAGTACCAGAAGTTCAATGAGTGTGTGCAAGGTGGCTGGGGAAAGAAGGAGGACATCTGTTTCTGGTTTCACATTTCGAAGCCTCTTGACTGACCACTTTCTTTTTAAAGCTAGGTTCACCCTTGCCGGCCAGGATATCTGACCACTTTGGTTTGCATGACAGCATCTGATTGGAAAAGCAAAACTGTGCCTTTGTTAGGATGACAGGAGGAATGGTGCAAGTCTGAAAATGTCTGACCTTAGAGTGACCACTATTTCAAGTTTGTCTAATGGGACAAATCCCTATGTGACAACATTGTAATGCATGTTTGGCAGAAAGTTGTATCAAAGTTGTTGCGATGCAATATCTCAAGGCAGTGATGTATAGTAGTGATATAGTAATTTTGTGATCTCTTAACATCCCACAAGTGAGGTTTTCAGCATTGTCCTGATGGGCGGCACTTGAGACTAGCTGCTCAGTTCTGCTCCTAAATGTGGGTATTTCTTGTAAAGTTCTGCCTCGCCACAAAAAACTTGAGCACGATTGCAGGAAACTTGTCGCTCCAATCATTCTCCAGATTTTTTACGTAACTCATTATATTGACATTTATTTTTTGTTCCTTAAAAGCCCTGGAGAAGTTGCAGTAAATCAGCCTTAGTTTTAAGAATTCTATTAAATTAGAGCTGCATTAACTCTGCTTATTTTTTTTAAGGTGCTTTGAATTGGAGCTGTCCTGACTGTTTTTAATCTTTAGTTAAGACGCCAAGGGGTTCGTGAGTGAAAGTGTGAAAAGCCTGAGCCACCTAAGAAATGTTTAACCAGGCTTTTTCTGTAGGGCTTGCAGTCAACCACTCTCCAGTCAATAAACTCATGATATGAGCTGAATCTTGCTAATTATTCTAGACTTATTCAGGTTGTTCTGTGAACTCAGGGGTACTGATGGCCTCAGATGTGGAATGTGAATGAGATCAAACTGTGACTTAAAACTTAACTGGACTGACAAATTTATATAATGTGCAGTTTATGCATGAGTGGTGGTGCTTTTTATAGCATGACAAAATAAGCATAGTGCTTTATGCTTGGATTAAGAAAGAGCTGGAGAAAGCCACCGTTTTCCCATTCTCACTCAGCGTCTTTTGCCACTACTGTCAAAGCTCTTGCTTTCCCATGCAGATAATGTTAACTTTCTAAAGTAAGGGCTGAGGTGCCTGTTTTGTCAATTTTTTCAAAATGACTTTGACTTCGTGAGTTCAAAAAGTTGACTTTAATGTAAACATTATTGGGTTTGTTTTCTGTCTAGGAAAACTCTGGGGGTAGAGGAGAGAGAGAGTTTTTAATGCAAAAAAATGAAAACGTTGTGTAGGCTATACATAAGACACTAATTTTGTGTCTGTTTAGGTTGCAGTGGGGGGAGAGACAGAGATCTGCCATCCCTGATTCACAGTACAAAGAGAAAAAGTTCACAAATATAAACGAACTTTAAAAATTTAGAAATCCCTGTGAGGTGCTGCAGGTTGAACCTACTATAATAAACAGCACTTATTGTAGTGTCTTATTTTCAGAGTACTAACTAATTCTTGCAACCACTTGTGAAACAGCTAGGTACGTATTATCCCCATTTTACATTTGGGGAAGCAGAGAGATAAAGTGACTAGCCCAAGGTTCATGTGGTAAATATATGTTGGAAGCAACATGAGACCCCAGGAGACAATGTCCCCATCATCTGAATCTAGAACCCAATGGTTAATATACAACAATTTACACAGTTGTGACTTTAGGAAACTTCCAGTGCAGTGTGGCAGATATTCTGACCCCTCTCCCTGCCCAAGTTTACCTCTTCAAAGTTGACCCAGAGGCTGAGTTTGCACATGGTGTAAGTGATCTAGCCGTTGGTACGCATGTTCATTGTCAGATGAGTTGACTTCCCTACACACCTTGACAAGTCAACAAATGAGACTGTTATTAAATAGAGTTCAAGCTTTTCATGAAGCAAGAGAGCCCTGGGGACAGTAATGCAGTGAGGTAGCAGGTAAATATTATTCCCAGTTCACAGATTGGGAAACAGAACAGGGGGAAATTACTTGCCTCTGAGATGCTTTAATCTAGTCGTTTGGCAAGGGACTAGGAGTGAGAAGCTGTGGCTTCAAATCCAGATTCTGACACTGACTTTGCACATGACCGTGGGCAAGTCACTTCCCTTCTCAATGCCTCAGGTTCCCTGTTTGTGACAAGGAATAATATTTACCTTCTTCATAGGGCATTGTGAGGCTACACTATATGTTTGCCCTATAAAGGCAAAATAATGCAACTAGTTAGTGGTAGAGGTGCGAAGATAAATCCAAAAGCCTCTGCTCTCAGCTCTCAATTTAATCTTCTAGGTAAGTAGCACCACTTTCTCCATCTAGGATTTGGGAGGACCTGAATTTCCTACGCATCGCTGCAAGTGTAGCGTGAGATAACGCGTTTTGCAGCAACTCTAATATTGAGCTGGATGGTAAAGTCCTACTGTAAATGTGCGTCCCTAAAATTCTTAGCCACAGATTGACAAGTGAAATGGAACAGAAAATCCTCCATTGCAGAAGTACTTAAAAAAAAAAAAAAATGTAACTTCAGTGCTGCTGAACCAATTTCCTTTTCCCTTGGCTTGTTTCTTAGCTCGTGATGGTCTACAAAACAATCTAAATTAGAGTAAATTCTGACCTTTTTTTGAGTTACACATACACAACATTTCTAATTGGAATGCAAGAGACCAGGTTTTTCCCTTTTTTCTTTATAGTCAAGTAACTCTAAACTAACAGAACAGATTTTTAAAAAGATAAAGAAAAATTGTCCTTGTTTGGAGACCAAGCATGAAAAATGTCTGACTCAAAGAAATTTTTGGAGAAAATTACTACCAACTGAAAGGGAGAGGGAGTGGGTTATTCTTTTAGTAGAATGCGAGCATTAAAAACACTGTTTTTAGTAGTAGTATGGAATGAAATTGAGTGATCGCCCCTCCCCCCAAGATTATTTTAGAGAGGGATGAAGGCAAGTTTTTCAGACACTGTAAGCCCCTAAATTTGACCATCCCAAAATACATCTTGAAACTGATATTTCAGTGCCATTAAAAATGTGTGGTAAGGAAAAGAATGTGTAATGCTAGGATATGTCTGAATGGTGCAACTTGCCATCCTTTAGGGCTTTGCAGAGAGAGAGAGGCTTTGCAGAGAAACCCTAACCAGTTTTCTGCATCACTTGATGGCATCGAAAGTCTCACTTTATTTGGTTAAAATAATAATCAGGTACATTATGTGTGGGAAGAAAGTTGTCCCAAGGAGAAAAGCTATTTAGTTTCAATCTAAGAGAACTATAAAATACTTCTCTTTAAATGCTGCATAAAGATGTGGGCCTTTTGACATTCTTCTAGTGCTTAGCAACTTCTTTTCTGTTTAGGAACCTTCCGCTGTACGTTCTGTCAGAATGAAGTGGAAGAGGATGAGTCGGCGATGCCCAAAAAGGATGCACGGACTCTTGTGGCAAGGTTTAACGAGCAGATTGAGCCCATCTACGCACTGCTACGAGAGACAGAGGACGTTAACTTGGCCTATGAAATCCTTGAGCCAGAACCCACAGAGATTCCTGCACTGAAACAGAGGTGGGAATGGGCACAAAGTCCTCTTCAGCCACACTGCTTTCATATTGCATGTTTGTCTGCCTTAACCATATCGTTGCCTGAATCTTGATAACTTGTTTGTTCAGCGTCAGCAATGCAGGACACTGATAAATAATCTTTGCCTCAAGAGATTTACAGTCTACAATTGCCATAAAACAAAGCAGACTGAAGCTGCCCTTGCCTTTTAATAAGACTATTTGTCCCACAGGAGGATATACATAGCTGCTGCGTAAGAAGCTGAGACCACATAGTTTTCCAAGACCATCTTTAACTTCAGAGAAGAGCTGTGACCACTTTACAGAGCTCTGTAGGCAGCCTCTGGACTCCAGGACACACTTTGGGCGCCCCATGCTGTTTTACTGTCTTCTTTCCATTGGAAACATCTTTTCTTTCACCTTTTTCTTTTGCTTCTATGAAGGTTTTGAAACTCTAAACTAACTGTCTTCCACACTTTGCATTTTCAAACCCACTTATAACAAAACTCTTCTACAAAGAAATTATTTATGAGTATCTTTTTTATTCTTATTTTCCCCCACTTGATACACACCTTTATAGGGAGAGACCTGTTACAATCAAGAACTCTAAGATTAATATTTTCCTAGCCTTAGGAAACCAAACTGCATCCTTCAGAAGATTTCTAACTATGCAAAAAGAGATGACGTTTAAATAACATAGAAAAATGCAGTGAGCTGTCAGTTTTGTCAGCTGCGGTGAAATCTAGTGTGCTCTGCCTATTTTCAATTTATAAAAAAAGACTTACGCACACCCAGAAAAAAAGTTACACTACTGGAGCAACCGCCCCCACTGAATATAATGCTGTTGGTTTTTCAGGTTCCTTTCTTTTACATGCAGACTAACCTGTCTAGTCCGTTCTAGCCGGGGATCTCAGATATGAACTAACTAATGTTCTCCATCTCACAGATGAAGAAACTAAGGTATATACAGAGGGGAACTGACTTGTCCAAGACCAAACTGTCAGATACAGGAGTAGAATTTTTGGCGCCTTTATTCCTAACCCTATGGCTTAATCATTAGACTTTGCTTTAAAACCAGTTTCTGTAGTTTGACTAACACATTTGGGATAGCCACCTCAAATGAGAGAAACAGGCCTTTTTCAAGCCTCTGCATGGCTACTTCATCTCTGTGACTAGAAAATTAACACAGCAAATGCCTGGTGCAGTCCCATGAATAATGGTTAAACAACAGCAGCACCCACTTACGTGGCTCTTAAATACTTTTAAAAAAACCACTGTAAATGATTAATTACTCTGTGCACAGACTTACAAAATAAATAGGCAGCTTCTTAAATGGTTACTTGAACACAACTAGCTTCAGCACGTAGAGTGATTCAATTATTTATTAACCCTTATTAATTCAAAGCAGCTAATTGCATAAAAGTGCTACAGTGAAATTTAAAAAAAGAATATCCTCTTTCCCCCATCTCACCCCTACACACACACACACACACACACACACACACACCTCTCTCTCTGGGTTATTTATTTACTCCATTTTACAGAGTCTTGAGATACTGGAATCATTGGTAAAACTGACATTTGATGCTCCTGAAGAAAAAATCTTCCGAATGTCCTGCCTTTCCTGTTCACACAGGAGCAAATAGCTCTGTGTGTCTTCTGGAGAGCTTTAGCACTCACTGTCTACACTGGAAATTGTCCAACAGTCATGCATCTCCATTGCGAGACTGGTCAAATCATTTACTTAGATTTTTCTAGACAGACTTAAGTGATATTTTGTAAATCCTCTACTAAGCATGAATTTGTCCCATGCAAGTATCATAATAAGAGTCTGCTTTTCATAAACCAGCCCCAGTGGCTTTCCAGATGGGTTGCATTTAATCTCCCCTCCACTTTTTCTTGTTTAAAATACCAGCACTTTGTGTAATGTAACATCCTCGATTTCCTGAATGACCTACCTTTTGCGATTACACTACCAAAGACCGTTTGTCCATATACCTTTTAGTGGAGGCTGTTAAAAACAATAGCATGAGAGAGTTACCTAATTTTCATTAATGCAAATCGCAGATATGTACTTAAATTACCATACACATCTGTTGGACTCTAGAGCCTCAGTTTTTCTATGCTTGTCTTTTCTTCAGTTTCTACAAACAGTTGAGATGCAAAACTTGTGTTTGATTTAAATACTTATTATCTGAGCTCTGCTCATTGGTTTCTTTTAGCCATATCCTAGCCCTGCTGAAGATGCTTTGTGCAACCTTAAAGCCAGTTTAATCAGTTATGCTGGGGGACTTTCCATGTAAGGTGACCCACCGACAGCGTAGAGCCAGTGTAGCCAGCCACACTGCTGCCTAATCCCCGATCCCCAGCTTCACAGTAGCTCCCAGGAGCTGTTGCAGCCAGGCAAGTTCAGGGCATCCCTAGCGTGAGCCAGGGGACAAAGCAGCCCTAGAATCAAGGGAGATGGAAAGTTTGTTATAGGAGTTGCTCCCTCTCTTCAGCTCTGTTCCAAGCGCTGCAGCTGAGCATCTGGTCCTCTGTCTCTGTTCAGTGGTGTTTAATTCACTTCTCCATAGCAGGGACACTGAACAAAAAGGCACTGCTTCTTTATAGGGGCAGGTAAATCCCCACTCCCATGGTCTCAAGGGGCTGCATCATTGCTGCTAACAGCATAATTGCTGATACTGTTGTACAAACAAGGAAGAAAATGGAGCCATTTACTTAGTCATTGACCTTAACAGGGGTAAAATTGTAGACATAAACCCTCTTGGCTTTGGTTATCCTGGGGCATACCAAGAAGTTAAATCACTCATTACTCCCTGTAAATTAATCACATTGCAGGAGATGGTTTAATCTAGTTTACAGGGATAGGTATCTTTTATTTAAGAATTGTTACTTTAAAAAATTGTCCTTGACATCACTGGATAAGTATATCACAACTAAATGGAACTTCATAGGGGAAAGGAGGCTTTGAATTGACAAGGCAATCCCTGACCCTGCTGAACACTTAAATGTCATTGCTGCAGTCCTGGTGAGGGAGGCTTTTTTGCATTGTGTATTGTAGGAAAGTGGATTACATAAAATTGTGAGGGAAGCTCTACGGTTGCTGATTTTTATTGTGGGGGAAGGAGACTGGTGCTTTTCACAGAACACATGCCTTTCTTTGAAAACTGAAAAGTACCAGTATTTGAAGTAATACAAATTGAGAGAAGATCTCTGTGTGGTTCCTTAAGTTGCATACGTGATCTGCATGCATAAAATAGTTTCTCCCGCTTGCTCAGAAATTCAAGTTGTTTTTTCCTGATCAGGCTGACTCTAGGAAAGAAACACAAGTCATTGATTCTGTGAATGTGTGTATGTTGTATAAGATGTAAAGATACAAAAATATTGTGTGTGTATGGTTAGTAGTTCCTGGAACACCTACCTGGCTGTTGAAAGGTTAAATATTTCTTGCTCCTGGCAGAGATTTGAGTGCACAATTATTTTCTTCCAGAGCAAGTAAAATGATGGCATGTGTATGTAATTTCGCAGGACCAACCTTTAAGCATCAAAATAGAATAGAATAGAATTAGGATAACAAGCAGTGGGTAAACACTTGCTTAATAAACAAACATTTGATATCAATGACCTCCCCAATTACCACCCTCTCTCAAACTTTCCCTCTTTGGGGAATCTTATTGAGAAGATCATGGAAGAACACCTCTAGGTTCACCTGGATCTTCTATCAGTATAGATTCAACCCCGGGGATGATACAGAAACAGCATTAGCATGCTTGGTTGATCATGTCCTATACAAAGGGAGGTGGTGCCCATGCATATTTATTATCTGTCAGCAGCCTTTGATGTCATTTACTATATAAAGTGTTCAAAATGCTTGCACGATCTACTAAGAGTGGATGGGTGCATTCTCCATTGAATCTGTTGATTCCTTTGAGCGACTTTAGCCTAGCAGTTCATTCACCCTGGGTTTCCCTCAAGTGGAAAATGGGAAGATTCTTTCTGTGGCCTTTCCTGCTCACTATGCACGTAAGAGCACAAGACCAGATAGCGAAGGTAATTTGGGCTCATTGCCATCAGTGGCAGAGGACATTCAGCTCTATGTTCTCTTTATTCAGATCCAAGTAGTGCATTTTCCTGGCTCAGATAGGAAGCTGGATGACAATGATTTAGCTATGGATCAACTGAGAAAATAAGCTGGTGCTAAATTCTGATGAGCAGCCCCTTGCTATTCCAGCCCTGGGCACTCACCCAGTTCTGCCCAGTAACCATCAATACTGACTTTCAGCCGCCGCCCCCCTCCCACCCTCTGTTACTCAGGGTTAGGACAACAGCCTCCACCAAATCTCAGTCATTGCCCCACTCTATTGCTGACCTGTAAACCCCCTCTCCCTTCCCCCAAGCCCCTGACTAAAATAATCTAGTCTGACCTCCTGTATAACACAGGCCATAGAACTTCACCAGGTTGTTCTTGCAAGTTCACTATCACTTGTGATCAGAGCTGGGATTTCAACTTAGTTTTCCAAGGTGAATTTATCTAATCGCTCATAAGCACTATGAATAAGAATCCCCACATCTGAGCATTATGAGACTCCAATCCGGTCAACCCACTTGGTTAAACCTTGGTGTTTTAATTTATTTAATACAAGACTATGGTGTAACAGCAAATAAATACTTTTCCAGCTAGCTACTGGCAAGGGCCATGTAGTGTATCGATGTGACTTTCATTTCAGAGTATTCAGGCATATAACCAGGTTGGCTGTTATTCCTACGTAATTATATTCACAGAGCTTAACAACCTTCTTGCCGTCTAGTGTCTCTCCTGCAAATCACAGTGTGTAGTTGAGATTGTCTAGTATTTTGATCCCTATATTCCTCAATCAAAGAGTTGGTCTAGAAATGCTTGGCAACATGGTTAAGAAATGGGGGTTGAGATTCTCCAAGCATATCATGGGAGATCATTAATTTTAATAGGAGGTATGTGGCTAAATTCCCTGGGCTCTTTTTGGAAATCACAACAGGAAACGTCTGTTATACAGAAAAGGACTAATTCTGAATGGTATCTTTTTTTTATCCCCTTGACTTCTACATAGCAAAGAACGTGCTGCTGCTGCTGCTGCTGCAGGGGCAGCTGGCCTAGCAGGTGGATACCATCGGGAAGCATGGACAACAAAAGGGCCATCATACGAGGACTTGTACACCCAGAATGTCGTCATCAGCATGGAAGACCAGGAGGATCTTAATCGGTCAACAAATGAAGGGAAGCCAACCAGAGAGAGGCCAATTTGGCTGCGGGAAAGTACAGTGCAGGGGGCTTATGACCCAGATGAGATCAAAGATGGTAAGAAAAGCTAAAAGGGGAGAAGTGCTGCATAATTCTTAGAGTGGGGAGAACATTTTTGCCCCTTTCTGTGTACAGCTGCTGCTCCTGGCATCTTAGCACTAACCTGTTATGCTGTTATATCTTTCATCTGCCATGTAAAGCCAGGCAGGTGTAAGAGAACAAGATTTACTAGGCACAGCATTGAAACCCATGTCAGTAAAGCTGAGTTGCCCACAGTGGTGTGATTGTGTTACTAAAATATTAATTGTTTCTTAGCTTTTCCGGGAGCGTCAAAGACAGATGTTCTGGCCCATTATGACTTGTTTGGTTTTGGATGAAAGATTTTTCAGCTTCTTCAGGAAAGCTTGTTACCAATTGGGCATGGATGGAAAATGAAACTCAAATTGTATGTGTGCTGAGCATAAGGCTCACCAAATCGGCTACTAGTGAATATGCCATGTTCACGTATCCACTCTCCCCTTCTGTAACTGGTTATTTGTTGATTTTCAAGATAACTATTGTATGCGGAGAACAATGTATCAGAACCGCATCTTGAGAGTGTGGGGAAGAGGGGGAGTGAGTACATTAGGAGAATCAGTCACCATAGTGGGTTGCTCGTTATTGCTTCCTCCTATGACTATCCGCCATCAACAGTCTTTTTCGTTAGTTTGTGCTTTTATTATTGTTTGTCATATCCCCAAAAGACCACAGTCAAGATGGTGGGCCCGTTGTGCTGGGCATTGTGCAAACACAGTAGCAGACAGTCCCTGCTTTGAAAAGCTTATTCAAAGCCCAAAACAAAAAATTAATAAATGGAGACCATTTTAGATTTTTAACGGGGTGATTCAATTGAAATATACAACCATTTGAGCTGTGTGAGCAACACCAAATGAAACAGGCAGTGTCTCAGAAGATGGCGAAATGTAACCAAGAGCCCAAAAGCAAAGTGTTTATTTTCAGAAACAAAAAACCCAGCACAAAGAAGGACAAAATGCAATGAGAATGGCTATCAGCAGAGACTTAAAAAAAAAAAAAATCTGAAGAGAATCTCGTTCTAGTTCTGCCTGTATAGAGCTACTGAAATCTTAATGCAATGTGCTAGTTTCTGACATATAGGACATGGTAAAAAGTGAAGTATTGAATCTCTCTGATGCTTCTGTTTTAATTAAATCCAAAACACTAAAATCTTCCTTTTCCTGCAAAGTAACCCCCAGGAGTGGAACAGAACAGCAGGAGATTTTTTTAGGGGAATGGAGGTGCGGATGGTGGGCTAACCCTGTTCAGGCAGATATCTGACAAAACCAGAGCTTGAGGTGATTATGGTCAGGCAGTGTGTTTCTGCCTTATTAACTGATGGCTTTTAGGGTGCGCTCCCTTTTATTCTCTTGTACATTACTTTGTTTACCCTATAGAAAGCGTATTAACTAAAACCACACTCTGAATGTTGCTATCCACAGTCTGGCACCAGAGTGCCTTCTGCCACCACACCACCCACACAGATTTCCATGGTTCTTGGATGATGTGTGACAGAAAAAGATGGAAGGAAGAAAACTTGGGCATCGGCAGAAATCATTAGATGCTAAAGTCCAGCACAAAGAATTTTCACAAGGTCATGATTCATAGAACCCTTCTGGGCTGTAAATCATTCAGTAAACTTGGACTACAGCTGGTTAACCTCCTAGAGTATAGCACTTCTCACTGAGAGGGACTATCATGTTTTTTCACAAAGAAGATCTCTTGTCTCTAGAACAGGGGTCGGCAACGTTTGGCATGCGGCTCGCCAGGGTAAGCACCCTGGCGGGCTGGGCCAATTTATTTACCTGCTGACGCGGCAGGTTCGGCCGATCACCGCCCCCACTGGCCGCAGTTCGCCGTCCCGGGTCAATGGCTTTGGCTTCGACCCTGGGCGGTTGGGCTTCGGCTCCGGGTGGTGAGGCTTGAGCTTTGGACCTGGGCCCCAGCAAGTCTAAGCCAGCCCTGGTGACCCCATTAAAACTGGGTCATGACCCACTTTGGGGTCCCAACCCACAGTTTGAGAACCGCTGGTCTAGTTCAAGATTGTCTTGATACTCAAAGTCCACCATGGGGCTGACCTTAAGTTCCTGAGACCCACCCCCTCTCTTATCATGACAATGAACCACCTTTTGACAGCAGCATTCCATAAAACCAAGAAACAGTCAAACAGTTGAAGGATGCATCAGTGGAGAAGACAGGACTTTTCTCTCTTGTGGGACTGAGTTCCAACCTAGTCTTAGCTCCTGGGAATGACCAAAAACGTCATCAGTTTGCTCCTCCCTATGGGGAAAGATGAAACACCCCCTTCTGTTTCATTTTTAAGGAAACTTATGGGACAAGTGGGAGTTATGGTGCTGGGCATGGTATTGGAACCTGGATAGATGAAACTGGACTAAAGGTCAAGGCTCCATCTCTTCAGGAAAGGGAGAGCAAGTGGCATTAACGTGTGAGGGTGGAATCCAGTCAGCTCAACTCAAGTGATCATTCACATGCAGAGTCTTTCGGTGAAGTAGAAAAAGTTTGCCATGGGGAATCTGTCCTAGTTTTTATCCCTTATTTTCACATAAGGCTCCTAAAATCCATTCTTATTCTACATTTTTTCAGTCTGCCTGCAGGTTTATTAGTGTTGGGTGGACTCACAGTGCTCTCACCAAACATAAAAATCTGATAAGAGCTTTACGCAGAAAAAAAGCTCAGAAAGACTTCTTTTTAATAGAATTCTATTTCTGAATCCTTGAACTGTAGACACCCTGTGTACTCAAACACTATCATACTCTTCCAGTGATTGCACAGCAAATATTACTTAACAGAAATGCAGCCCTTTCCCAGTACAGAAGACGCTACTGCGATGCGTGTATGTGTCTGTCTTGTCCGTCTCTCACCTGGGGCACTATAATCCCCTACAAGTGAAGTAAAGCTAGGGAACACGTCCCAGATTGAAAGAGAGCCCAGGCTACAAAGAGGAAATTGGCTTGAAAAGTAGCAGCCCTTTTATACACCCTTTGCATGTTGCGTTGCATATGCAGTCAAGGGGCTTTAAGATTCCACCTCCCATGCAGGATTAATTTTATTGATAATACCAAGTTCCTGTAATAAACTTTCTTTTCCTGCATGACAGGTGCAATTTCAAGGTTCCAAGACACTCCTCCTTGTTTATATGTTCATATTTTATCTTAATTAAAGGTCAGAAGCTAAACATTTATATTTATTAACCTAAAAAGACTCTCAAAGGAAAACTGTCCCTGCTTTTTCTACTCAGTGATCAAAAAGTTTCCATAGAGCCAAGATGGGTATAGTTTATGGCCCTGTAGGGTGTACTATGTTAAAAGAAGTACTGCCAGAGTAGTACTGGGACCACAGTGCTCACTCACTAACAGACCAGTCCTGAGATACTGTTCTCCAAAAACGGAGTTTCTGCCCACCTGTTCCTCATTCCCCTAACGGGACCTTTCTTCTTGCTCATTGGTTTGTAACTATGCCTTTGGCACTCAGATACATTCCAGGATCCTTTGCGCTGCCTGCCATGGCACCTCCTTTAACACACTACTGCTCTCTGTGCAAAGATGTGATTGGGGAAGTGGCTTGCCAGATATCTCTGGGTCTAGGTGCCTGCCTTGCACTGAGACTTCTTATAATTGACGTTCTTTGTCTGAATCCTTTCCGGGGCAGCTGGCTTTCTAAACAATGGCATCATTAGCCACGCAGCATTGGTATTTGGAAGCCCAGCTTCAGAGCCTACAAATTACTTTCTAGTGAGCTTTCCTGTGGCCCCACAATCTGGACAAAAATGGTTATCCTTCATATTGAGGCAGAATGTTAAGTGTTTACACAGTAAACCTGCTCTGAGGGTCTAAATCAGAATGAGAAGAGGGAGGGCCCGGTTGCTGATGACAAATCACTTGCCTTCCTAGAAGGATGGCTCTCCACCTTCTTTGGGTGCATGTTCCAAAGTGGAGAAGTCAGAACATTCCTGGGACCATCCGTATTGAGAGTTAAATGTAAGGAGGGGAAAAACACTACAGGTTGAATCTCTCTAGTCTGGCACCCTCGGGACCCAACTGGTGCCGAACCAGAGAATTTGCCAAACCATGGGAGGTCAATGCAGAGTACCATCGGTCTCCATAGGCGCAGGAAGTAGGGGTGTGGGGGGTGCTGCAACACCCCCAGGCTTTGCGCCCAGCGTGATCCCCCGCCTGGGGGCCCTGCTGCCACCTGGGGTTCCGGCCGCCGGCCCCCTGCCCGGGGGCTCCGATGCTGGCCCCTGGTCCCAGCTGCCAACCCCAGGTCCTCCTCCTCCCTCCCGGAGCTTGAAGGCCACAAATCAACTATTCACGGTGCTCCAGAAGCGCTGGGAGGGAGGAGAAGGAGTTGGTAAGCGTGGGGCCGCCGGTGCACAAGAGGGGCAAAGAGGGGAGCTTGACGCCCGTGGATACTCCGCACCCACTAATTTTTCCCCATGGTGCTCCAGCCCCAGAGCATCCACGGAGCTGGTGCCTATGTCGAACCACGGATGTTGCCAGATCAGGGAGTGCCAGATTAGAGAGGTTCAACCTGAAATAAGGAAATGATGCACCACACTGAGTGCTGCTGGGGAAGGTAAAGCCAAGAGCCAGGTAATTATTGAACCTCCTTAAATGACCTGCATTTTTGTTTTGGGGTCCAAAAGGTTCCTGCTTGGCTGCCTTCCTCTTCTGATACCACTCTTAGGGTCCTCTTCCAAATACCTTTATTTATATTATGGTGGCACCAGGGCCCTAGTGTGCTAGGCACTGTACAAGCACAGAACAACATGGCAGTCCCTGCCCCAGGGAGCTTACAACCTAAATATAAGACAAGTCATCAGAGGGGAGTACAAGTCATCAGCATAGTAGGTAGGGAGCGGCCTCAGCACACCAGCAGCCTAACTGTTGTCAAGTTTTTGTAGGCATCACAGCAAGGAGAGTTTTGAGAGAGGATCTGAAGGTGGATAATGAGGTAGCTTTGTGGGTGTTTATGGGGCGCTGCTGCTCCCAAGCATGTGAGGCAGCCTGGGAGACAGCACAAAGGGGCTTGTTTGAAAATGAGCGAGCAGATGATGGAGGCTGGTATTATGGGTCGATCAGAGGTGAGCAAGAGATGATTGGTAGGGTTGGAATTGACCTGTTCTTGCTGCATTCTCTGATACAGAACAACTTGCCGTTCTCTTGCAAGTGGGGTGTCCCCCATTGTGCCCCATGGGTTGGGAACCACTATGACTATAGACCTTTCACATAGTCTGTCAGCAATTAGCACATGTTAAGCCTCGCCCTGCTCTGAGGTCTGCTGGGTGAGTATAACTCTCTCGACTTTAAGATGGGCAGGGAGGAAGCAGTGGAGAAGGGAAACAGCTTGCTCCAGGCCGTACAGTCAGTGACAGAGCTGGGACTAGAACTAAGGAGTTCTGACCCCCAGTTGCAGGCTGCCCTAACCGGCACATCATGCTCCCTCCTTAATGGCCAGCATGATGTATCGGTATGATGACTTGCCTACCATTCCTTTATGCTTTCTTGCAGGTGGTCAAGATATGGATGCGTTTCAGGAACGTGGGGAAGGCCGCGCGACTCTGGACGATAACGAGGAGGTGATGCGTGCCCTGCTTATCCATGAGAAGAAAACCCCCTCTGTCTCTGCAGCTGGTGTCGGGGGGGCTGCTCCCTTAGCCAGCGGCAATGCCAGCGACTCTGAGAGCGATACCAGTGAATCAGAGGAGGAATCTCCACCCCGCCTGCCTGCTGCCACAGCTACACTCTATGGCCTCGAGGATGAAGAGGATGAGGAGGAATTTGAAGTGGTGGCAGAGGACCCCACTGTCATGGTGGCCGGACGTCCGTTCTCTTACAGTCAAGTGAGCCAGCGGCCTGAGCTGGTGGCCCAAATGACCCCAGAGGAGAAGGAACTTTATATAGCCATGGGGCAGCGTATGTTTGAGGATATGTTTGATTAACCCTTTCCCGCCACGACAGCTTTTAAAGGTGAATTTTAACAGGAGACTCCCTAGTGAAACAAAAGACTGAACTGCATCTCTCCCTTCCCTACAGTCTGTCATGCAGGGGCTTGGGGCTTAGAACTGCTCCCTGACTAAAGGAACTGCTGATCTTGGGCATCCCACACAATGGGGGGTGGGGGGCTAAAACTAACTGGGTGTGCCAAAAGGGGAGGGAGCAAAGGTGGGTGGTGGAGCATGTGGATATTTTTTAATCAGGACAGAAAGCTTGCAAGGTGAAGCTCCACTTCAGGGTTGCCCTCACTTGCTGCTGCTTTAGCCCAACAGCCTCCTTTCGCCTGAGGTTTATTCTTTTTATAGAAGGCCAGGGAACAGATTCTGACGCAGTCCAGCTCCCTCCTCGCGGAGGACTTGGGTGCTCTGTGGTCTGATCAGGCCTTGCTCCTCAGTGTTACAGAACAGGAGAGTGCAAGTGACACTGAGGGTCTGTGCGTTGGATGCCGAGACAGGCTGTAGATGCAGTTGCATGTGGACATGGTGCCTGAGCAGGGTTGGGCTGTAGTACCGGGCACAATGAGGTTGTCGCTAACCCATTGCAGATGACTGCAGTGCACAGGGATTTTTATTTCTAAACAACCATGTGAGCAGATACCATACTTGCTCCCTGTCCTCCTCGGTCTTCCTACAGGTCTCTAGCTAAACCTCTCAATAGGGTTTGTAGCCCAAGCTTGCTCAGACTGAACTATGTTGCTTAGATTCAACCATGTATTTTGCCCAAGTTGTGTTTGAGATTCTTTTCCAACACGGTTAGGAGCCCTGGAGTGGACAGCTGATGGTGTTCGTTGTAACTGAGGATGTAAATGGGAGGCTGCTTTCTGATGGGGAGACGAGCTCTGGAAAGGAGAATACAGATCTCTGGGTGATGCTCATTTGAAAGACTATCTGGTTTTCAATCTCCCTTTTCAGCGATCAGGGACTTCAGTCCTCTGTGAAAAGACAGGCCTGTCCTTGCCTGTTCCCCTCTTCCACATGCCCCACCCTCCACACCCATCTGTCAGAATTTTCAAATATGAGATTTCAGCATAAGCATCTAACAAATAACTTGATTCTCAAAGGTGCTGAGTGTGCTCATAGTGCCTGTTGGTTTCAATGGAAGCTGTGGGTGCTCAGCACCTCAAGGACAGGTGTAACTTGAAGCACCCAAGTTTGAAAGTCTTGGCTCATTTTCAGTGTAATGAAACCCACTGAAGGAACTGCACTGGTCGAGTACTCTGAGCTACCCAGAGACTACTTTCAGTGCAGTATACTGTTACTGCCTGTCCCCTCACCTTACCCCGTCTAAGCCCCGATGTTACAGCCTGAGTTCACAATAGATTGGGCTGTCAGCCAGGCAGTACCAGGGAACCAGCATAGCTAGTTTTAATTTCACGAACACCAAAAGGTTTGTATAGTTTGAAAAGGAATTATGCAGAGTTCTCAATACTGCTATTTAGCATGGCACTGCACTATTTGTTCAAAGAAAACCATTTTTACCAGTGCCTATAGCAATATCGTATTTGTAATGTTACCTTTCAATTTAAAAGTGTTACTTTTTTTTAATCGTTGTGTTTTCTTATCCAGTGCTATGGTAAAACAAAGTGATAAAAGGATTTTGTGTTTAGAGGCTGTATCAAGTGCTGTTTGATTTACACGAATTGGTACAGATTTGCCGAGCATTTAAACTGTAAAGGTATTTTATACTGACTAGCCCTGTGATGCCTCCTTTGTAGTTTTATTTTCAGCATCTTGATATTTTACCCTTTTTTAAAAATAGTGTGTTAAATTTGTCATTTTTAAAATAAATGAATAAAATGATGCTTCTGTCCTAGGTTGTCTTTTCAATCTATTTATTACTTGCTCAGCTGGGATTGTTTGCTTCTTCTAAGGCTTCTGATATGTTTAATATGCTATTTGAAAGGCTTTCAAACCATAACCCCACCTTCAGTGTCATCACTGGTTCTTCCTTGGATACATCTCAGAATCCTTTGCACCGTTTTCCATGGTGTTTTTTGTAGTTGGGAGCCATGGTTGGTTCCTGTGTCAGAGGGATCTTATGGTTAGCACTCCCATTCTTTTTCCTTCTTCGCTGAGGAAGTGAATATTGCTGAAATGCTGGCTGTCCTAAAGTTGTCTTGCTGCCAATTTAAAATGGCTAATATGGCATGGAAGTGTGTATGAGACACGATAAGTGTGACTATCAAACCACAGAGATGCTAAATCATGCCAAATAGTGGTCAGCTGAAAGGAGCTTTACAGATTTCAGGAAGCTGAATACAAGGTGACACATTATAAGGGAGTAGATACAAGGGACCATTGGCTAGGAACTGTGGAACCAAACTTGCTAACACTAGTAGTTTCTACTTTGCTTTAGTATTTGCAGGATCAGATCTTAGGTTTGTTAAAGCTTTAGCAAAGGAACAGTGTTACCCATTGTTACATCAAGCAACTAGCGTATGAGAGATTATAAAGGAATCAGCTGTGTAACACATTTTACTGTGGCTTATAGTTATGGTAGGAAAACTGGGCTTTATCCATGTATGATCTTTATATTACGTCATTCAACAAGATTCCCAAACTTAATAATATACCTACCATCAGGAATCCATCCAAATGTTTATAGGGCACTCCTGGCATTTCTGGTCCATCAGTGGCAATTTCCTGAGATGCCCCCACTCTGCTGGGAGACTGGAGGTAGGTATGGGAGCAGGTGTATTGTCCCCTAACAGCTGCTGACTCCCAGGATCTGCCGGCCAGTTTATCCCAGCCAGTTCAGGACTCTTGTGAAAGGACAGCAATGCACAGTTATTGTCCTGTTGTGATAAATGTTCCTTCGAACAGGAGCAGTGAACGCCAATGGCACTTTTCAAATGTACTCTGTGAAGAGGGACTGTGCACACACACTATCCCAGAGAACTGTCACTGTGGCAATTGCTGAAAGTGAAGCACTGCCAAGTGCAAGATTGGAAATCACAAAGCAAATCAATGGTGAAGCCAGGAATTGAGCCCGTGAGTTCTGATGGAGGCCCAATCTAACAACTGGACCACACTGCCTCTGGTAATTAAAATCAAATGACTGTGTGTCCTGTGATCTAGCTACAAGACCAGCCTGCACAACAGTCTCTTGTAACTCCACGGCACTAGGTTTCTGTTCCTGACTTCAGCATCATCTGCAGTTTGTCTGCTTAGTAAATGCCAGGTCACAGGATTGCACCTCTGCCTACAATGAGAAGAAAAAAAGCCTATTTATGTAGTCCAGGCACTTCAGTACCTGAGCACCTGAAATCTGTCTCAGCCATGTGTCTCTGTCATTTGTTGTACTATATATAACATCGCAAAGCCAGTAAGAAATGCAGGTGCCAGCTATCACTGACTGAGAGAGCATTGCTTCCTTCACAATGAAGTGTGCAGCCTTCCTTACTTAAAATGAATTTACCTCCTCAGACAGGCTAATTGCCAGGCTGGCTGGCTATTTGGAGGGGATGTACCATAACTTGAGACTAGAGGAGAGTTTGATTTGATTTTTCACATCGATCCCAAGAAGCAGCTGCCTGGAAACAACATGTCTGTCCTTCCAACTTTTCTTTTCCCTGTTGCTGCCTTCTTCAAACAGACTCAGATTAAGCAGACTGGCACTAGCAGAGCAGCAGGGGAGTTGGAGATCCCCTGGAGGAAGGGCAGAAAAATAGAATTACCCCCGCCCTGAAAGATCTAAGAGCCTTGACTTCATGATGCCCTGGGGCTCCTGGCTGGCTGCTGAGAAGTTTGACAAGGCTTAGTGGGGGAAAAGCAGAAGGCTTAGCTCTCGTTTCTCTCCTGCTGAAGCCCGTTGGGGAGCAGGAAGTAACAGGGAACAGATGAAGCATAAACCAGGCTGCTTTCATCAATGAAATGGAAAGTTTACAGTTGGGAATGAGTGTGCATGGGGGTGCAGCTGAACTTGGGCAATGAGGCAATGAGCTATTCTATGATGAAAATGCTTCATAAAACAGGTTCGTGGGATGGGACCATATGAGGTAGGCTCTGGGTGGCTATGTAGCAGCTCTCTGCTGGATTTCCAGTCTGCTGCAACCCAAATGAATGGAGGCAGGGGGTTGTGATGGGCTCAGTCCCTAAAGGGGAGCGAGTATATCACACTCCTCGGCAAAGAGCCTCTTCAGCCTGTTCAGGATTGATGTTTTCAGACCCCATCAGGAGTCCTGGCCACAATGACAGTGGCTGTGATTCACACATAGCAGGCTCGGGAGTATTAATCTATTCTAGGCATTAACAGCCAAGAGTCTCGAGGCATCTTAACCCACATTTGCTTATTATAACATATTCAATCATATCTGGACACCTCACCCAAAGAAATAGAAGATCAGGAGCAACAGAACCATAGCACCCCACCCAGATCTGTAACCCAGCTGCAAACTCAACAGGATACCACTGTGAAGGGGACCTCAGGCAAACAGTAAGAGGAGGAGTGGTCTAGCTCCCAGGTCGTGTAGTGACTAAAACTTAATTCCATCAAGTTACCATCTTTGTCTAAGCAGGTTTCTCACCTGTAGTTGGTTTCCAGCTACTCTTGCCACCTCCCCTCAGTATTGTACCTAAGGAGGAACAGCAGCTCTGCTCTGCGGAGCTCAGTTTCTGGAACAGGACAATGTTAGTCCATTAAAAAGTCCAACTGGATCACCAATAGAGTGGTCTGCCAAGTACATAATACGTTCCCTCAGAGCCTTCTGGAAACCGACAGGTTCCATTCGCCTTCAGAGGATCATCAAAACAAGGCCATTGCCCTATGGAATAGGAGTCCATGACCACAGTGTAATGGCCACTGTGACACTAAGTGCACCCCAATGCCTGATGGCAAAAGACCCCCTCGCATTTATCAGTACAACTCAGTTGACTTGACTAGCTCAATACACCTCACACACTTGTCATGATATTTATTTAAACCGTGTTTTGTAATACCATTTGAAAATTAGCAACATGCTAGCCATTAATATCACCGTGAAATGTAAATAACGATGCTGTATGTGAATTTATAGCTACTCTGATATTATGTTTGGGAGTCTGTAAACAGACCCAGGAATCAAAAACAGATTTTTTTCCAGAGGATGGAGAATGGCCAACGCCTCTTGAGCTCAACTGAAAAATGGCTAAGAACAGTGGACTATTCATGTGCATCAGGGATCACAGGAAGTCCATTTCCATTGCAAAATCACAGGAAACTGAAAAATTAACATGGCAGTGGCTCCCAGGTGAATACAGAAAGCTGAGCCCCCAGGAGGGTTTCCTGACTTTGAGAAAAAAGCTATCTGTTGAGGATATAAGAAAGAACTGAAAGACTTTGGGATATCCATTACCTGTGGGACATAAAGGAGCAGCACTCTTGGAGGTCACGAAAAGTGGCTCAACTTGGCCCAGGAGGAGCTGGAAACTGACTACAGGTGAGAAACCTGCATAGACAAAAACAGTTACTTGACAGAATAAAGTTTTAGTCACTACAAGCCCTGTTTGGTTTGGTTTTACTTGTAACCGTCCTGTCTGTCCTATTACTCATCATTTAAATCACTGTTCTTTGTTAATAAACTTATTCTTGGTTTATTACAAAACCATCTTGGTGCCGTGTATTAAACTGAAGGGTAGAATCCTCAGCCAAACTATCAGGCTGGTGTCTCCCCTGCCTCTTTGGAGGCAGCGAGCTTAAACTTCTGTTAGGGGCCAATGAGAGGGACAGGACGCTGCAGGGGAGATGGCTTTGCGGAGGCTCAGGACTGGAAGGGCTGTTGGTGTCACCCTGCAAGCTGTAGCCAGGGTGAGACCACTGTGCTGTGAGCAGGCAGCCAGTGCCAGGGC